GACTGCTGTTGTTTTGAGCCATTAAGTTTGGGGGTGACTTTTCCTCTGCAATACATAACAGGGACACCAAGAAGCACTTCTGAAGGGCTTCCACTCTTGCTCAGAGCCACCTCTGAGCTGCGCCCAGGGGTGACTTGGCACACGTACTTAAGATGCCCTGCTTGGAGGAATCTCCCTCCACAGTTCCACTCTATGTGCAGGCAGCTGGGATATGGAGTAGGCAGGGCTAAAGGAGGCCTCCCCTGGCTTGACACTGGCCTTGGACATCCAGGATTATTCCATCCAACTTTGGGATCCTTCAGAAACCATGTGGGGAAATGTGGGTAAATATTATACCTCATTTCACCACGGGGAAAACAAGAAATCTGTAGCCTCAAGGGGAAAACCATAGGATTCTAGACTTCCAGTCTGCCAATTCCCACCCCTCACCGCTACATAGCTTCTAGAAAATGCTGGAGCTAGAAAGAGAAACCGCCTGGCTGTAGTTCACTGGTTCTCAACCTTGGCTGCACATTAGAATCACTGGGAAGCTTAAAAGAAAATTCTGCTGGGCCTCAACACTAGAGCATGGATTTAATTGGTCTGGGGTACAGATCAGATATTGGTACTGAAAATCAAAACATAATAAAACACCTCCCTGGTTGATTTTATGGGTTACCAGAGTTGAGAACTACTGTTCTAGACTCATTGTCATTACCACCGTTGGCATCATTGTTCTAGGGCAGGGTCTCTAAGACTTTCAATGACACCAATTTGGAATTTGGAGACAGTCTGGGCACTGAGGGAAGACATCAGTCTTTGACCATCTCACAAATAATAATCACCCTTTACATTAATACAGATTTACATGTCAAAGGCTATACTCTGCACCAGCTGAGAGGAGAGTTGGTCATGGCATTAAGTAATGCTGAATCTCAGGGTGACCCAAATTATTTATTTTTCAACTCTCTTTAAATCCTCTGATTCACAAAGGAGAAGCCTCCATTTGGTACTAGCTTGTCTTTAACATCTCTTCAACTCTTGGCAAAAATCAGGGAATTGGTTTTCCAATGACTAAAATTCAAGTAACACCAATCTAAACCTTTGTCCCCATGGTAGTTAAATGAGAGAACGGTGGAAATTATGAAAGAGCTGCACAGTTTAATATGATCCCAACCTCCCAGGAGAAAGCTGAGTCTCAGAGACACTTGGTGACTTGCCCAAATCTGCCCCATCTCCAACTTCACGTTTACTGAAGAAAATCATGCTGATAGAGGGGTCCTCTCTGCCAAATAACTGGGAGATAGCCATTAGATTCCATTCTTACTCGGGTCTCAGAGTAAGGGCCAAACAAGCCCCACTGAGGAGGAGAGGGGAAAGGGAAGCATACAGCGTGGGAGAAAGAAAGAATCATGGAGACGATTAAGACTTATTGGTTCAGGAGACAGATTTCAGAAGTTACATGGAGGAAGAATTTGGTTCCAAAAAAGAGAGAACCTTCTAATGCTGTTGAGACTGCAACTGGCTGTGTCAGGAGACAGAGAGAGGCCCACCTCCTCCATCAGTTTATTTATTTGCTTAAGATATAGTCTTTCCTTCCTAGTGCTGGCTTTCCCTAAATGTGTAGAGATTCTCAACTGCATGTTTCTGTTTGGGGATAGAATTCTCTTACACTCTGAGATTCAGGGGACTCGGAAGATGCTTCCCTAGGATCCTAGTTAGTTTGTCTTCAGACAGCTGGGAAAGGCAAGTTAGTCTCCTAGGGTAACTCCTCCCCCTCCAATAACAACAAGCTTTGGAGCTTTGGGATGGGGGAGGCGGGGAGCTGAACCAGATGAGATTGAATGTGAATACAGATTAAACCCTGGAGGAAATGTTTGCACCTGCTCCTGGGATGTGATTTATTCTTGGCCAACAGCAGGTGTCCTAGGCCTTCATGCTGAGTTTAGGGTCTGGCCACTTGAGGTTCAGTCTCTGCTCCTCAGGTTAGAGGCCCATCAGACCACCTAGAGTGCTTGTTACAAAGGTAGATGTCCTAGCACACCTCCCCGTAGGATTTTTTAGTTATGGGCTGATTCTGACGGTGGAGATCCATGGGCTACATTTTGCCAAACACTGATCAAAGGTGTCTCAGACAGCCATGTCCCAGGGAGATGCTGGCAGTGGGAAAGAGGGGGGATGCTCTCAGCCAAGATACGGGGGCAGCAGGCGCCTTTTTCCATTGGACATTCCTGAGAAGGAAGGAGAGCAAGCTGGAGTTCCAGAGGCACAAGGTAATTGACTCGTAGACATTTAGAGTCTCAGAAACATAGGCTCTTATTCATAACGGAATAAAAGAATCTTAAAGTGACAGAGCATATTAGCAGTCGAGCGTAGTGGTGAACAGTCAGTGACACTCAGAGTTTGACTTCTTTACTTGTTAGCCGGGTAACTGACATCGAGTTCCTCAGCCTCTTTGAGCTCTGTTTTCTCATTAATTGAACGGGATACTAGTAAGTACAATACAATGCTCCCTAGGACTGTTATGACATGTAAATGGGCCTGGACACTTAAAGGACCTGGCATTGGGCTTGACACGTGGTAAGGGCAGAAGTTCTTATTATCACTGCCAGGGACGTAGAACCTCAGGACCAAAAGCGACCAGGGAGGTAATGATGTAATGACTCCTGGAGGAAGAGGAATTAATAAAGACAAGGGTGTGTGTGTGGTGGCTTCCTGGCTCAACTTCTCTCAACCTAGCCTCCGGTGGTTTGCTCCCCAGCAGAGGGAAGGGGCACTTTAGCCATCAAGGGAGTTTGGAGGTCTAGGTCCTACAGACTCCAAACCTGAGAATGTCACCTTTCTGCACCTCCTGACACTCACTCTGCAGAATGCACAGGCCAGCTGTCTGTGGGCTCCGCCGAGGAGAGCAGAGCTGTGGCCTCCCTCCTCTGGCTCTGGTGTTTAATCAAAACAGTATTCAAAATACGATTCTGGGAGATTAGAGGGGGAGATTAGCAAGAGTCTCTCAGTGGGGAGAGAGATGGTGGGAACAGATTGCCACTAGGGGCCTGAGGCTGGGATAATCCAGGCTCAGATGTGCCATTCTCAGGCCCGTCACCTGTGGTGCACCTTAGAGTGCACCATCAGGCCTGGAGCAGACATGGAGCTGCAGGGTGGAGACCTAGATCATCCTCTGTGTTCTACAGCAGGGGAAACAGAGAGGGCAGGGGGCTTGTCCAGGGCCACATAGCAAGGTGGTAGCAATGGGATTGAGATGGTGAACCCATAATCTGGGATTCCAGGTTACTCCTTTCAGCCCCTCTTATGCCCCACTGTCTCCAGCCAGCCAGGCCCAGATCTTGGGAACAACCCTGGCTGCAGGCTCCTGCTGTGGTTTGGCAGAGGCAGGTAGAGGCCAGGCCTCCTAGACAAGAGATGGAGAGACAACCTTCTGAGGTAAGGCCTCCTTTCCCAAGCTCACTGTTCCTCTGAATGGCTGAACAGCTGGAGGCAGGGTGCAGCCCAGTCCCTCCCATCCTGCATCTTTCACTCTCTGGATCCCAGTCCCGTCCAGCCACATGACCTCAGGCTTAAGTGCGCCCCTTCTCCAAGTGCTGACTCAATGTGAGACTGAGGGCTCCTCTCCCCTCCACACGGGAGGCCCCTAGCATCAGGCCTCCAGAAGGGTCTACTTGGTCCCCCCAGAGAGGGCGGGGTCGAGAGCGTCTTGAAAGAAACCCCCAGCTAATGCTCTTTATTACAAGCGTTAATCCCGCAAAGCCGACTGGAAATAATGTTTATCTTTTCGCAGTTTAATTTCCAGGACCCTAAGCCACGGGTCAGTGAGGGCGATTGGAGGGCCCCCGGGGAGGTTGGAGGTAGGAGCAGCTGTTGCCCAGAAGCAAAAGGAAAGCAAGGAGAGAGGGTTTCCCAGGAAGTCAGGGAGGGGAGGGTGACCCGAAAAGGACCCCGAGAGGAAAGCTGGGGTCTGTCCCACCACAGATTCTGTGTGACCCTGAGCCAGTCCCTTGCCCCACCCCCATTTGGCCTCAGTTTCCTTATCTGAAGAAGGGGTTTGTATTTTTGTCATTCATGATCTCTAAAGCCCCTTTTGATTCGGATCATTCTCTAGGTGAAAAGACAGGGTGGGGCAGGGAGGTGGCCTGCCACCAGTTCCCCAGTTTTCCAACCCCCCACCTTCCCATCAGCAACCTCCAAGGGTCTTAAAATCTCTCCCCCTCCCTTCTGCCCCAGGCTTCAGCGAGTGGCAGGCTGGCCCCCCCACGCTGGTCTACTAGGCCATCTCCCATCGGGGTGGATGGGGCTGGAGCCCAGCAGTGGAGGCACAGCTCCCGAGGTTGCCCTCCCCGCATCCATCTGCTCCCCGCTAGGGCCGGGTCCCGGGGTCACTTCCCTCTTTCCCTGTGAGCAGCGGCGAGCTTGTGCGCTGGCGGAAGCCGAAGCCACTAGGCCGGACCAAACTCAGGCGGTTCACCCCGCAGCCCTACGCCCCACACTGCTCCCCAGGGGGACAAAGCCCCCTTCCCCGACCGTCAGCTCCCATTGGTTGGCCTGTACCGGAAGTGCTTGCTGACGCTCGATTAAACCGAAAGAATGCCCCGTATCGCCTCCTATCGCCATTCCGTCCCACCCGAGGAGCGCGGGGGTACCAGCAGCTAAGTGCCAAGAGACCAGTGACCGCCAAGATGATCTCCGGCGCCACACCTCCTAGCGAACCTAAAACCCAAGTACGAACTAGAACACAAATGCACCTTTTTGGACAAATATCCCGACAGCTTCCCCTAGTCCCGCGCCCACGCATCAGCAGGGCATCAGCCGGGCTCAGCGAGTTGGTGGCAACTCAAGAGCCTCGGCCTTGGCTCTTACCTTGTCAGTTTATCTCGCTGCTATGAAAGGCACTGAGGTGTGCAGCCCACGCCGCCCTGTCCCCAGAACCCCTCGCCACACTTCATCCTCCCCTCCACCCTGACCTCTCCAAGCAACCCTGGCACAGAGAGGCCACACCGCTTAGGTTCGATTTGATTATTTTTAAGGACACAAGGAGTGGGGGAGGGGGAGAAGACCCAAGTCTTGCAGTCCTTAGAGGCCAGGTCAGCATAGACATTACAATGTGAGGGGGGCGTGGGTGCGCAGGGGAGGGAGCAGCTTCAGGCCCTGAATCCAGAGGAGGGAGGGAGACGTGGTATACCGAACGGGTGCCCTGGGCACACTCCCCCGCACAGCTTCCCGCTCGGGTGCCCTGTGCCCCCTCCTCTGGGATCTGACAAGACGCATGTCTGCCCGCCACGCCCAGCTCTGCGTGCAAGGAGGGCCTGTAGAGGGGTTTCTGTGTGTCTGCTTGTTTCTTAGGCGCAGTGAGCCCCGCCAGTTCCTGGAGAGGTCTCCCAGCTTCTTAGCGTGGAGGTGAGTTCCAACAGTAGGGCTAATTTCCGAGGTTCTTCGCAAATCGCAGCCATTGCGCTAACCTGCTGAGAGAGGAAAGGTTGATTAAAACCCGAAGGCCACTGGTGGCGATTCCTAGGAAATCGGAGGTCAGGGGTGGTGCATCCGAAGGGAATCAAAGGTCTAGAAGCAATTTGCTCACGAGAGGTAACATTTGGACCCGGTTTTGTGTAAATTCAAATAACAATGTAACCCAATTTTCTAAGCCAGTAGCTAATCCTGAGCGAAATAACTACAAAGAACAGAGTCTGGCAGTAATTGCTGGAGGCTGCCAAATGCTTGGAGAGTGTCCCTTTGTGGGGTGACATTCCCTTCCACTAGGCACAGCCAGAGAACCACCTCACCCAGGGGCAGGAGACACTGATTGGCAGTCACACCCTGTGGCCAGTTGAAATTTCAGGGTGAATGGCCTCCAGCAACAGCACCTGGGCTGCGCTTTCCAGTCACCGTAGTGGCCACAGAGAGGGCTGGCAGTTGACTTAAACGTTGGCCTTAAGACAATTGTGTGCGTCTGGACCTGCCCCTCACACTTCTCAGAAAGCCCTGTGCCTGCCCAGCCTTAGCCAGCTCTTGGTACAAGCACAGCTGTCCTCCTCTGAAGGGAAGGCAGGGGACAAGGGCACCTGTGTCAGTGGGTAATGATGGCACCCACCTGGTGCACTTGACCAAACACTGGACATGAGTGCAGAGATCTAGGTTGTCCATCTTTTCAATGGCTTTCTTAGTGATCCTACGTAAGTTGTTGTCTCACTCGGAGCTTATTACTATTATTTGACTTCAAAATAAGGGGGAACTAGAAATACTACCTCTAAGCTTCCATTTCAAAGAGTGCTGTGGGACAATCTCGCACCAGGTCTGAACCTGGGCATGCCCGAGAGGCAGAGAGGGTGTGCAATGGCTGGGCAGCACGGTGGGCAGGTGTCTTTTGGACAGACAAGCCCAGCATCCTTGGGGGCCCACTACCTTCTGCTCCGGACGGGTACTGGCACTGCACTGCTGGCTCTCTCCGCCGCGGGCACGGCGCACAGTTCAGGGGCAGCCTCTGCAGGGCAAATGTGGGGTTTCCAAAGGCTTTGGCTATGCGGGAAGACTCGTCACACGCGGAGTCTCTGGGGACCGCGGGTCGCCTGCCAGAGCCTGGAGGCTGTCCGGAAATTAGACGGCACTCCGGACTTCGTGGCTTGGGCGGGGTTGAAGGTGCGCCTTCGATAGCGCTGGCGGCCGCAGTGTGCGCCAGAGACCAGATGCGCGGTTTCTCACTGCCTGGAAAGTGCATGGTCAATGTGGGACCCACTGGCTCCCCCCGGAAGAAGTCAGCTTCTCCTGATCCGGGAGGAGGCTCATTGAATGAGAAGCGGGACTCCGCCAGGCCGCATTCCCTGCGCTCCAGCCTGCCCGCTCGAGCTGCAGCACATGGTGCCAGCAGCGACTGCGTGTCCTTATGGCCCTCAGCCAGCCTGTCCGCAGCTGTGACCACTGCCTCTTCTTCTTCGGCCTCCTCCTCCTCCTCCTCTTCCTCCAGGTCTTCCAGGTCACTCAGACGGAGCCCCCGGGCTTCCTGGCTAGCAGCAACGTCTGCAGGAAATCAGGAGCGAGTGAGAAAAGCCCAGGCCCCCAGGGAAATCCGCTGGAGTGCCCGTCCCTGAGAAGCTTTTAGCAAGATGCGCCCTGCACACAGGGCATTCGCCAGGCTGGCCACACCACCTGGGGACACGTTTGTCCCCAGGGCTGGAGGCCTGCCAATCCCCCAGCCTTGCCCTCGCCCCTTGGAAAACTCCTGCTCTCTATGCACCCAATACATTGCGGTGCCCTGAGACCTGGATTCAGCTTCTCAGCCATATAAACTCAAGGGGACAATTTTGACCCCATTTTCACACCCGCCGGTGGCTGGTGTGTATTATTTTAATTCAGCAAATATTTATGGAGTGCCCGCTGTGGGCCAGGCATCATTTAGGTATTAATTTAGGGAATACAGGAGTGAATAAAACACCTAGTAGAGGCGACATTCTTGAGGGGGTCGTAGTGATAAGTATGGGGGGGAGATAAGATGAGACGACAATAGAGAATAACTGTGGCACTGCATTGGCTTGGGTGGCCAGGGCAGGTTTTCGGAGAGGACACTTTAAAAGCTAGAAGTTGGCTCAGTAGGGAATTCCTGGCAGAGAAAACGGTGCAGGCAAAGGCCCTGAGGCATGTGGGGGATACCAGGGCAAGGGTAGGCAAGAGTGCCTTTCATAAAAGCTACACCACAGGGTGGCTGCAGAAATCCAATCAAACTGCTTGATGGCTGGAAACACCCATGTAAGGTGGGGTGGTAAACACTTTTGGTACCTTTGGTGTCACCCTTTAGGCAGCCCAGCGATTCCTCTGCTCCACCCTCCACCTTTCTCTCCTCCCCGCCTTTGTTCTTGGGCGCCCATGTCATCTTGTTCTCCTTCTTGAGGCGCCGGCGCGCGTTGGCGAACCAGGTGGACACCTGGGTGAGGGTCATCTTGGTGATGATGGCCAGCATGATCTTCTCGCCCTTGGTGGGGTAGGGGTTCTTGCGGTGCTCGTTGAGCCAGGCCTTGAGCGTGCTCGTGGTCTCTCGCGTGGCGTTCTTCCGGCGCCCGGCGCCACTCAACTCCACGGCTCCGTACCTGTGGGTAGAACCTGGATCACAGTTCTGGGGCTCGGAGCCTGAGGCGGCAGGCAGGAGGCAGGCTGCGGCCTGAAAGTGAGGTTCTGCTATTCTCCCTCCTTGCTCACCCCTCTACCCCTGCTCTGTCCAGGCCAGCCCTCTCGTGGCAGGCGAGAGGGTGGCTGCACAGCCCCCGATGTGCCTCACATCTTACCGGTCATACTGGTACTGCCCCAGAGACGGCTCATAGGGATAATAGGCTCCTGGTTGCGCCAGGCCAGGTGTCAAATTCCCTGCAGCCTCCTTAAATTCATACTGTGGATTCTGGTGGGGGAGGAAGAAAGAATTCAGGACTACTTACATTTGGGGAGAAAACGGGGGAGGGTAGTTGCTAAGCGTGTAAACTCTGAAGTCAAGCCTGGTTCATATCCCTGGACCACCGCTTGTACTGGCTGTGTGATCTTGGGCACAGTTGTTAACCGCTGAATGCCTCAGTTTCCCCTTGGTAAATAAGGATATCAATGGTACCTAAAGGTTAATGAAGGAGAGCACTTGGCAGAATTCCTGGTGCAGAATAAGCAGTGGACATTCGCTGTTATTATTACTGTTACCACTTGTGTCTCCCTCCCCCCAACCCTCCACCCCACCAGCTGGGGAGCTTCCCTGCCTTACTCCCCTTCCAGAGCTATTCCCTGGCCCTTTGCATCTCAGTGACTTTGGGTAAGTTATTGACCTCTGCACCTCAATTTCCTCGTCTGTAAATTGAGAAAGTGATGACTTGCCTACCTCGCACAATTAATAGAAGTGCAAATGTTTCCTAAACAGTATGGAGTTCTGCAAACTGTAAAATGGTGTAAAGATGTATTTTTTTTCCTTCTACACACTCCTAACCATTTCCTTTACTCGGAGCTGTGCGTCCTTCCTAGGTTTTCCCTGGGGATGTCACAGTGGCCTTCACCCGGCTGCCGCTCCCGCCCCCAGGCTGGGTGTGTTCCGGTTCACAGATCCAGGCCCCATCCCGCGTACTCACCAGCGCCCCGTACAGCGCGGGAGGCTCCGGGCTGTAGGGCAGGTACCCGGGGTAGCTCTGGGCCGCTGCAGCGGCCGTGTAGGGGGCTCCATAGATGCCCAAGGCCGCGCTCAGCTCGGGCCGCGCAGTGCCCAGCAGCCGGCTATCGTAGGGTGCACAGCAGAGAGCGGCCGCCGGGGTGGAGCCTGGGGCCACATCTGGGACTGAGCGCGGGGCGGATTCGCAGCAAGTGGCACTTGAACTTGCAGACACCAGAAACTACGGGGGCGAGAGAGAGGGCACCGGAGGTCAGAGGCCGGCGCCTCAGGCTGGAGGGAGCCAGCGTCGTAACTGCCGGATCTCTCTATTCAACATTAACTAAATGCCACCGTGTGCGGAGCCTTCTGCTGAGCACTGGAACCGGAATTATCCGAAGGCGCAATTCATCCAAACTGCCCTTATAGATAGGTGCCCCTAAGCCGTTGCTAGGGCTCCAGAGTCCCAGGGGGTTCAGGCGTTGGGAACGTTCTGAAACCCGAATTACAGAAGCTAAATTTCACCAGTTCCCTCGCGGACCCCCCCCCCGCCCCCCCTTCCCCATCACAGAATACCGCAAAGGCAGAGTTAGAAATTGGCCTTAGAGACCACCATTATGCCTCACACAGAATCCCATTTTATAGATAGGGAATGGGAACCAGAGAGTGCGCAGACTTGTCCAAGGTCGCCAAGCGGGTCAGAGGTCGGGCTGGGAGTAGCCCCCAGGAAAATATACCCTGCACTCTGGAGAAAGACTGGAGAGCTGTGGTGGGCGTCCCCAGAATTTCCCCCAGGAAACCTTTGTCAGTGCACAGCACCCACCCTGGTCTGGAAAATGAAGGAAACAGAAACAGAGTTTGGACCGACCCAAGCAAGGGGGAGGATAAGAACAGAAGTCAACGACGAGCAACAACAGAAAAATGGTGGGATGGACAACGCTCTGGACTGGAAGTCTTGTTTTCCGAGACTCTCCAGCCACCTCGGATATCTGTACAAAAAGAGGCCCATCTGGAAGTTCTCCGAGATCCTACCCACCTCTCTGAGTGCCTGGGCAGAATACCTAAGTTCCGGGTCTCCCAATTTTCCAGCTTGTACTGGGGGAGTTGAACATTCTCAGCTAGTGACTGGGGATGTCAGAGTGGACTGTGGTACATTGCCCTGGTCCTTGCTCCTTCTGGTTTCCCAGGAGGCTCGTGCGAGAGGAGGGCGCCCAGGGGCAGGAGCGTGCACGGGGCATCCCCTCCACCCGCCCTGTCCCTATCTCCCACGGAGGCGCCTCTTACCTGGGAAGCGCTGCCGTACGGGTGTCCAAAGTGCGGGAAGGACATGGTGGCTGTCACCGGCCCGCCTCCCTCTTCTCTTGCTTGTTCCCGCCTCTGTCCCTCGTGTCTGCGCCCCCAGCCGTGTGCCGCCCCGGTTCCTTACACGGCTGCAGTTGCCCAGCGCCGGGTCCTCCGCCCGCTCGGCGCGACTGGAGGCAGAGCCAAGGGCAGCCCTGCTGCCGAGCCCTGCGCTCCAGAAGGCGCTCCACCGGCCGGCGTGGTCCGGAAGACAGAAGGGCCCATGGATGGGCAGGGGAAGGGAGAGGATGCGGGTTCCCAAAGGCGCGCGGTGGCGAGGCAAGGTGAGGTGCGGCGCGGGGCTATGCGGCTCCTGAGGTGTCCCAGTCCAAGGTGGCCAGAGGCTCAATGTGACGTCACGGTAATCCCAGGTCGCCAGGCGGGCCCCCGGGCCCTGGGGCCCCGGGCCACCAAACGTGCCAAGCGCAGCCAGCCCGTGCGCGCGCGCGCACTCTCACCCACACTCACACTTGTTCTGGGAGGTTTGTGCAGCTGGTGAGGAATGTCAAAGACCCTGACCCTCTCTGCTTGATGCTGGATCCTACCCCTTTTTGCCTTACACTCACGCGCGCGCGCATATACAATCTCTCCAAATTACCCGGGAGAAGTAGGAGAAACGCCTCCCTCTGCGCCGCGCAGGCCCGGGGCGCAGCGCCCTTACCTCCTCCCTGAAGTCCTAAGGAGGAGAGAAGCAACCCAGGCGGCGAGGGAGGAGAGAATACAAAAAGAGAGAGAGAGAGAGAGAGAGAGAGAGAGAGAGAGAGAGAGAGAGAGAGAGAGGAGAAATGAGTCTAAGTGAACAGAGGCGGGCGGGGGAGGGGAGGGAACTGGGGTGGGCGAAGGCTGGGAGGAGGTTCACCACCAGCAGGTGGAGGAGAGCAGAGGCTCCGGGGAGCAGCTTCCAGCCGGGCTTCCCCGCCCCTCCGCTGCAGGAAAGTTTGTTCGCGCCAGGGGCCCCGCGCTGGGCGGCGTCGGTGAATCCCACCGGCCCGCCTGTCTTTGTCCTCGGGGATCTGGCTCCCCGGCTCAGTCTCCCCAAGACTAGCTAGATTCAGACTCTCCAAGCTCTGGCCTTTGCCAGGGCCTTGACCTCAGGGCTTCTCTGCAGCCCTCTGGCCCTCGAACGGGCCAAATAGCGCCCCCTCGAGGCCAGGGTTCAGGTCCTCTCGGAGTCTACCTGGAAACGCGCCACGTCTGACCCCAGGCATCTGCAATCGGCGGGCTAAGACCCCTGGGCATCTCCTACAAAGGCGAGGTTTGGCTGCCTCCTGCACACCGCCTGCTGTGTCCACCGGGAGTGGGCACCCGCAGGAAGGCGCTGGGGCAGAGCTGCAGCCTTTGCGCTCCGCTGGGGGTGGCGCTGGCGAGCCGCGGTTCAGCGGCCCATTCTCTGCGCTCCACCCAGACGCCTGCCTTGGCCTAGCGGTCTGACCACCCCCCCCTCACCATCCCAGGGGTTCTCAAAGGGGCACTGATGGGCGGAGGTGCTCGTTGGAGCCGGAGAGCGGGGCTGCGTCCTCTAGGCCTGGTTCCCGGAAAAGCGGCTCCGGTTTTCGAGCCCTGGAGACTCGCACACCCGAAGGCTCAACTCCCAGGCCTGGAGCCTCCCCTTGAGGGCCTCCAACCTGCGTCGTCCCGGGACGAAAAGGGATGATCAGTCTGGTGGGGTGAAGTCTTCGGCAGATGCTGCAGGAATGAAAGTGGAACTCGCCTTCGGATTTGCAGGCCAGCAACCTCAGAAAGCCTCGCGCCTTTAACTCACGGGGTCACAACACTTTACAGTTTACAAGACGCTCTCCCAGGCCCTCGCTGCACATCCCCGGAGGAATCAGAGGCATTGGTCCAAGGGCCCAGTTTTATTTTCTAGTTGAAACACAGGAACATGTGGACCCAAGGGTAGGGACAGCCCAGGTCTCTGCCCTGGATCCTTGAGGGGCCTGGAAGAAGCCCAGGGAACTGACAAGGTCTGGGGACCTGGCCCAAGACGCCTGGCCAGTGAGTTTGCCTTTGGCATCTTACAGAGGGGACAGGTAGGCCCGGAAACCAGCGACCTCTTTAGAGCGACATCTCTAGCTTTTTTTTTTTTTCTTCTCTTCACAGATTCTGCAGAACGCGCAAGGCGCCTAAAGACGCAGCAAACCGCAGACTGCTCCGCCTGAGATTAACAGGAGGACAAACTCCATTCTAAATACTAACAAACCCAGCGAGGGTTCCTGGCTGTGCTGCTGAGGGTCGTTACCTTGGAGAAACCTTGCGTTCATCCGGGGTAACTCCTAGTTAGAAAAAGAATTATAGTTGTCGCCAGATTGATTTAGTGGTAAAAATTCACCATAATAGATAGATCCCTTGATTTTTCAAAATGCACTTTGGAGCTATGCACACATTTGCACCTTGGATACATCTAAGCTATTTTTCTTAAAGTAAAAATTGGAGAAAATTCATTAAATTAGTCCCTTGGGGAAGATTACTGCTAATTAATTAATTGCAAACATTTCCAGAGGGAAGGTATGTCAATTGTAAAGTGATAAAATTAGATAGTTGAAATCCTTACTCAGCAACTTTGATTGCCCATTCGTTCCTAAGCAGATTTTTTTTTTTATGACAGAAAAATGGGGATGGTGGTGGAGAAAAAGCATTAGTTCTGTCCCCTGGCGATCTGGTTGCAAAGGAGAAACTACCACATAGACTGTATTGATTTTTAGCTGATTTATAAGACCTCTGCGCTATCAACGCGTGTGCAGGGCCTGCAGGCCTCTCTCTCCCCTTCACTCTCTAGGATTAGAGAAAAGCAACAAGATTTTTCAAAAGAAAAAGAAAAGAGAAGGAAGAACAGTGGTGAAGTAAATTGGGAGGAAGGACTGTGAAGATACCTCAGCTTTTTTTCTTCTTATGTAGAAAAAGAAAGCTAAGAGCAGAACAGGTTTTGTGTTAAGGCACCTTTCTGTTGTCTTCAGGGTTGCTTTGTGGTATCAGACTGTCTTCCTCCCCGCAAGGAAGGCTGCCATTGCCAAGCATGGGAGACCTTGATTTAACGTTTCTTTCCCAGGGAGAGGTTGTACTCACAACAAACCTACCCTGGGCTGCTGACATGTGATTGTTACTATCTTGAGCATTTAGCAGGGTTCCCTAAAAATGGTTCTTATGAAGTGCGCCTATCCCATCATTTTAGGACCCATTAAAAAACAAAAACAAAAAACCCCCAAAAAACAAACAAACAAACAAAACAAAGCCAGTGTTTAAACCAGTATCAACCTCTATCTGGCAGAGACCTCAAGTGACAGAAAAGAAGCCTGTTTCTTGGGAAGCCTGATGCAGGGTTGCGGCTGTGGAATTTGCTCTCATCCCCCTGACTGTTGACAGGCGCCCACTTCTGCAGCCGAATGCTCTAAGCTTCTCCACCATGCTGGATTTTCATGGCTTTGTTCAGCACTGATTAATTTAGTTTCAGGAAAAATGCCCAATTGTATATATGTGTACACAGAGAATTTTACTGAGGCAAGCAACTAAGCCTATTAAACACAGGCCCTCCCCGTTATAGTTAAGGGAGTCATTTCACCTGATGTATTTTAAACAATGATGCAGATTGTTTTGTTGGATTATGCAGCGGTGCCCTGATAGTTCTTCTAGCTGCTCATTAAAACAAATATGAAACAAAGTAAACAGTCAAAGGCCTATTTGGAGCAGAGAGGGTGCTCATCCACCTTGTTTATTCCCGTGTTGCTTTGCTTTAAATGCATCAAAGTTTCTAGTGGCAGAGCAAAGGATGTGTCTTTGACAATAAACTTAAATACAAGTACCACACACACAAAGGAAAACAAATCATGGTGCGTTATTTTGGGTTACATATCCATCATGTCTTAATGATTCATAAAGACAGTATATTTTACCCAGAAAGGTGAGGTGGCAGGGGGGTAATAACCCAGAAATACCCCCATGTCAACTTCAAATGCCTCACAGATGGAATGGGTGAATATACGGGCATACAAACATAGATGAAAATGTACTAAATTATACTTTTTAAGCATGGATTTTTTTAAGGGACTGTTTTTGAATGGAAAAAGAATGAAATTCCCTCCAATCTATGCATGAATGAACAAGCCCATCTGGACAGACGCATCTATAATTTATACTGACCAGTCACCGCAGGTCTCCCTGAGTAAAGCCAAAATGAACACTAATTGTTTTGACAGAAATAGTGTCCCTGGCATCTGATAGTGAAACACCGTGAGCACCTGCTTTGCCTGACTACATATTGTCAACAGCAACTCTGGACTCTAGAGGGGAACATGAAAAGACAAAAATTCCCAGATGAGGGTATTGATGTCGCTTGTCAGGAATGTGGCAAATGGAAAGAAAGAATGAAAAAAAATAGACGGAATTAAGAGATCCTGGGGTGTAGGCAAATCAGGTGCCACCCTGAGCCTAGAGTTAAAAATGACAGCTTGTTAATAACGAAATGCCTTTGCATTCATAGGATGCTTTGGAGCTTTCGTAAACACCCTTGCTTTCTTATTTAAGGCTCATGATAAGGGAGTTAGAGAGGTGGGAAGCAAATCTAAGATCACATAACCCAGTGGGTGCCAGAGGAGGGACCAGAGCCCAGACCTCCTGACTTGGGGTCTTTCCACAGGAACGTATTTCTAACATATATAAAGCCAGACACTGCCAGGAGGTGTTGCTAACTCCGGCTGGACTGAGAGAATTCACATGCAGTGCCCTGGATGACACAGCATAACGGAGCCGGGGAAATATGTAAAGACATGCTGTTATAAGCACACAGGTTCAGGGTTTCTGCTGCATGTGTTTATATCAACCTGTATTATGAAGCAACACATATAATAATTTGGGAGTTTTAGAAATTTGGTGTGGATCCTTAATTAAAATGGAAAATAGCAAGCAGACCCAGCTGTGACTAAATATACAGAGGGTGCCCAAAAAATGTATACACATTTTAAGAAAGGAAAAAACTGTATTAAAATTGTAATACTATATACTGATCACAAAAGATGAATACAAGTCACGTTTGACTACTGCAATTACAAGAGGTGCTCAAAGTGGTTACCATCAGCGTAACCTTAATAGTTTTTTCCTTTCTTAAAATGTGTATACATTTTTTTGGCACCCTCTGTATATGTATACATATAAAACAGCAACCAAAAGAAGAAAAAAAGCCTTCTAAACACCTAACCAAGGTGATGTTTCTATATGTACATTGGTTTAGAAAAGTTAATGGAATTTAGTTAGTGACTATTTTCAAGAAAAGAAAACATGTTTTAATCTTTGTTTTTTGCACCCATAGACTGGGGAAGTTAGGGCATGTAGTGCTCACTTTCAAAGTGGTTTTTACATATTGAAATTCTTGATTATTTTATCCCGTGGATGGTGGCATCTTTCTAATGATAAGCTCAGGACATCTCATGTGTTTCCAAGGAATTAAAATGGAAAGTAAACAGCAGATGTATGCATTTGAAAAACCAGGAAACAGGTTTTGAAGCTAAAGTCTTTGGGAAAGAAACACACAGAAGAAATAAAGACCTTAAAGAGACGACATGTAAGGACTCACCGGGATAGGATGCCATGTCCCTTTTCCCCTTTGTGACGGAGCAAATGGCAAAGGGATCTGGGCTGGAGCTGGCTCTGACTACAGCTAGAGACTGTGCAGTGTTATATGCAGCACTGCTAGCAGGCAGTTTATAAGGGTGATATTGTGTCTTTCTTTCCCTTTAAGGACTTCACTGTCGTCGACTTTAAGGCTTCCGTTACAATAGGACCAGCTTCGAGCCATATATGTTTTTGTCTTATTGGTGGCATTCTCTTTCGTTGTGGTTTCTCCTACTTTTAAAGCTGAGTATTTGAACTGACCAGGGGCCTTCTTCCTGGTGTCACCTGGGGCCCACTCCGTTAGGGAAACTGGGACCATCTGTGATGTCACGTGCTGACCACAGCAATTCATGACAAATCTTCACAAATCAATAAAAATATGGGAAGTATATCATTTTTAAAGGAAAAAAAGAGAGAGGAACACATGAGACATACCCATTAAGGGCACAGCCATTCTAATACCTGCCCGTCTGCTTGGGTCTGCAATTAAAAACATTCTGATAATAAATCTTCTTGCAGCCTCTTGTAATGCTTTTAACTTTCCTGAAGGTTCAAATTGGTATCCCAAAAATGTGCCAGGACTTTCACAAGGTATTTTATAGACTCATAAATAAATACGGCAATTAATCTATGCTATATTTCTTTCGTATTTGATGACAATTTATTATGGCATTCAC